GCTAAAGCAGGAGACCCACCTCCTGCAGACCCCTGCAGCTCATGCACACCTGCTTTGAGAGAACTGCTTCGTTTACTGGGCTCCCCCCCACCCCAGTTGTTTGGTGGGCTTTTCTGGAGTATGGTTTTATGTGAAATCATAGAAGGTTGTGATTGTTTCCCCCCACCCCAACAAGCAGTTACCTGTGAATTTGAGGGGGTTATTGCATCTTTATATTGGGGCCATGGATGTAGAGATCAGTTGCTGCAGTGTGGTTGCCTTTGCAGATTAGTCTGAAGATTAGCTAACTAGGAGGGGCTGTTTGCCTAATGAGATTACCTGCCCATGTCCCCATCAGCCTTCTGTGAGTTTTTTGTTTGTTTCTGCTGGAAGGATGGAGGTATATATTTGTACGTTTGAACGTTTTTGTGGTTTACATGAAATGTTACATGTTATGTGCAGCTAGCTGATCCGTGAATGTTACAAATGTGATACCTTATTTTATAGGCAGTTAATCTAATTAATTCACTTGATACATTTTTAAATCTTGGACTGGCATTTTTTCCAGGGTGTACACACACGAACACACAGAGTTTATATGTTATGGATATGGATATTACATGCACATATTCAGGAAGGGGGGATTTCCAGAAGTGATTTAATCTACAGATGGCAACCCTAGATTGACAAACTGAGGAAACTGGACATTGCATGATTTTCTGTCTATGCTTATTTTTCTTTTGTTTACCCTTCCTTTTCAGGGGAAATTCATGGCCATTATCCGCTCAGGTAAATACAACTGATACTCTGAAAGACAGATTAAAGTTCTATAAAGTAACACTAGATTGCTATCTCTTGCATGTAGAAAAAAAGATCCTGTACGTAAAAACTGAGAAAAAGTTAGGTGAGAGCCCTCACGTGCTAATTCTCTACGCTGGCTGCTCTGAAGGCACAATCATACCACACGTTTTTTCTGACTAGAGGTTAACTGTAGGGCTCAGAAATGCTATCCCACTTCTTTTGATCCTCAAATTCCAGTTGTTCTAAGATAGTTACTTTACAAAGTCTATAAAACCAATGGGAATGGAACGGAACCATTTTAGGCTAGTTCAAACACTTGGCTTCCTACACTTGTGGTAATGCTGGGGCAAAATTTAGTATCTAGCAAAAATAGAGAATTTCTTGTTTGGAAACAAGATGGCCCAGAACCTGCTCTACTTCCTATTGGTTAAAAATGGTTTAGTGAAGACTATGATAGGGAACATCCATACCACTAAGCTAAAATATGGTGAGCTACATGTCTTTTAATGTCATGGCATAGAAGAGTCATATGGGCCTAATAACATTTAAGAATAAGATCAAACAAAGAAGTGTATTAAGAGAGATTGGGGATATGGAAAATGCGCTCAACAGAGTTTATTTTCCAAATCCAACAAGTAAACTCCGTGAGTCAAAATGGGCTTTTGTGTTGTGCCAAAGAAAATGTCAATTTTATTTATTTATTGCATTTGTACTCTGCTGCAATCTCAGAGGCTTCCTCCAAAGGAAATCACATCTTGCTTTGGGCTCAATTAACCAGATAGATGTGTCTTTTTATTGCACAGGGAGGAATTCATAACTTGTGAACTATTTTGAGAAAAAAAGTGGTGGTGCTTTATAACTTTATATTTTGATATCTTGTTTTTTATAAGTAGGCTTCAGGTAAATTACCATCCAGATGGTAATCATTATACAGGTGGTGAAAATACTTATCCAAAACCATTGTATGAATCAAAACTGATGACTTTGACTTTGGAGCTACTTTTGGTTCAAACTCTAAAATTCAAGCCTCAGCCCTAAATTAGACACATTTTATAAGGAAGGGAAAAAAAGTAGGTTGTTCATTAAAGTCTCTTTGTACAGCATAAAGATCTGGTTAGCTGATTCTAATGCCTCAAGGAGACAGGTATTTACAAGGTAACCATTGCTTTAATTCTCCTGTAAACAGGAAAATATCAACTCTCTGTTGACAAAGCAAATCCTGTCTATGTATATGTGCATCAATATCTGCATATGGTATATCCTGAAACTTTGGCATAATTAAGGATAAACTCCATGGTACACAGACTCCAAGTTAAATATTTTCAGAGGCATCCAGGCATTGTAGATTTCTCAGTAAGCCTCTTGCAGCAGACTCAAACCCTGTTTCAGAATAACATGGATCCTTTTAGCAGGCAGTTTCTTGCTTCCTCACTATTTCATGTGATCCCCAGCAAAACATGTATTCTACTGACATACAACATGGAAAACACACCTACACAATCATACCATGAAAGACAATGATGTTAAAAAAATTAAATTATTGGATAAAACAATTTGCCCAAAAGGTATTCCCTGGCAAAATGCTTTCAGAGCTTCTTTCTCGTCCTCTTTAGGATACAATTCTTCTGTGTTGTCATCCATTGGCTGCCCAGGATTTCTCACAGTGCATTATTTTCTACTACTGTGGCAAAAGATATTGACAAAGCCAAGCTGTTAAGATTATAAAACCACAGCTGTTCATTCTAGCTATCTCTTCTGTGCCTCTGGTTTTCTTATAGTGTTACAACTAGCTTTCTTGGGAGCATAGCAGTGACCACACTTCATAAAAAATATTTTTGTGATTATAGCATATAGAATGTGGCATATGCTTGCTGCTCTTTTTGTGATTTGCCACAAATCTAATATACTTCATAGTGAGTCTCATCAAATCCAATTGCTACATAATTGCTGGTGATCAGGTTAACAACCATAACATTGTCAGGTTGGAAGCAGATGGAGAAAGAAGCCACAGAAGCCACATTTGACAGGACTGGTAATTCAACAGATGTGTATAATTTGTCTTGGCAAGAGAAATGGTTCAGCAGAGACAGAACTACGGTTCAAGCAGACAACATAGAAGAGGTCAGTGATAGCTTTTCAGAAATCAAAGTTCAAGACAGGCCGAAAAGCCTGTGGGACAGAATTAGGAGAAGGCTCGTGATCTTTGAAGCTTAGGGGCATTCTGCAGGAAAGAAAAGATGGAGAAGATTTTAAATGGAGAAAGAGATAATGCCTTAGTGATAGAGTGTTCCAGATGTCTTTTGAGGACACTCTAGTGAACTAAGAAGAGGAAAATGGATGAAACAGAATGAAATATAGCTGGAGACAAAAGAATACAAAGGGTTTCATAAGCAAGTTGTATAAAAGAACATTATAATGACTAAGGAGAAGTAGTAGTGAAAGAAACAGATAATGAAGTCCGAGCACAAACAATTGTCAGTGAGAAGCATAAAAACTTGCAGAGGAATAGGCAACATTCCCAGTTTCCAGAAACTACATCAGCACCCATTGAAAAGAGCTATAAAGACAACAGCTGTTCCTGCCAGCTATTCAGACTGATAAAGACTTGCCCAGGTAGAATGCCTCTGTTTAAAGATGATACAATCTGCTCCCCAAGTGTAAAAGGAATACTGCTCTGGAGTGATGAGGTGGCCCACCCTGTTGTTTTCACACCCAAGTACTGGAGTAGAGCTAGTATTCTAATAGAGCGGATCAATTGCGATGTACTGCAGGTCTTACTAAATTATGGTTTGGTATTATGAGATGAGGACAATGGGGAATGGGACATGTCCTGGGAGCAATTATTACTGAAATAGTAACTGGCAGGGAGAGAGGAAATTGCAACTGGGTGTAGTGCAGGTAAACGAGGGCAGGTTGATGGCTGGCTGGCTGGCCTCCCTTTCAGAAAAGGAAGTCAAGATGACAGTGAAGGTAAGTCCTTCAACCTAAAGGTCTTGCTTTTTAATATCAAGTCAGTTGCTGACAATACATCTATTATCCAGGATTTAATCCTGGGTGAAAATACTGACCTTGCAGAGATCTGGCTGAGACAAGAGGGGGAATTAGTTTCTTTCAGTTCTGTCAGTGATGCAGCAGCCTAGGGCTGGAGAGACATGGCAATAGGAATTCCATCCCACAAAGAACAGCTCCATCTGACAATCTGCCATTTAAAATGTTTGCTGCTCCATCTGAATGGCCAGGACAGTGTAGGAATACTGCTAGTGTACTGTCTACTCTGTAACTCAACAGTTTCTCTTCCTGAGTTAGTCAGAGATCTCTGATGTGGTGAGACTTGGAGACCGAGCTGAAACCTGTTTGAGGGATTGCCATTTCCCCAAAAGAGCAGATGTGCAGTTTGGGAGTACTCCTTGACTCCCAGCTATCGCTAGATTTGCAGGTGATGGTGATGGCTAGAGGCACATTTGCACAACTATGACTAATGTGTGCCAGCTGTGATTATTCTTGAGCCAGTTGCATTTTGCAATGATTATCCATGCCATCTTCACTAGTGCAACATGCTGTACATGCAACTGGTGCAAAATGTAGCATCTAGGCAGCTGAGTGCAGGGTACAGGACCACGTGATGCCTGTTCTGAAACATCTGCAGTAGCCGATTGCCTGTTAGGTATAATTTAGGTCCTGGTTTGACCTTTAAAGCCCTAAATGGTGTAGACATGACTTTCAGAGGAACCACTTCCCTTGTTATAAACCTGTCCAGTTACTTAGATCAGCAAGAGAGGCCTTTTTGAAGATGCCCCAATCTGGTATATGGGAACATATTTTCTCCTGTGTGACCCCAAGCTAAGGAGGTACACTTAGTTTCCACTGTCTTGGTGTTTAGAAAAATGGCAAAATGTATCTTTCTTCACCAAGCTTTTAACCTATTTTAGTTTTGTCTTATTTTAATTCCATTTTTATTAAATTTCATAATTTGAATTTTAAATTGGTATTAGGACATCAAGGGGAGTAATGGAGAATGCATGCAACCCATGAATGGTGGGTTGTCCACCCCTTGGCTTAACAGAAGGCATACAATCTTTGCTAAAGTTTGTGAAATTTTGTTGGACACTGCAAAGGTGGCAAAATATAGTAAAATAGAGAAAAAAATCTTTTTTGTAGGTGAGCTGATGGTTGTGTACCCTGCAGAGATAAGAAAATGTTTTAATGATCACACTGCTGTGAAAAGTAAGGCCTCCAGTTGAAATGTTTATTATGAATTTTATTCATTCTTCGATTCACAGAATTTTACAGCAGTCCAGACATCACCGTCTTCTATTTGGAAATCTCCAGTGTTTGTCCACTGCTGCTGCTTCTTTTTTTACCATAGTGGAGGGAATCTATTAAGAAGGGAAAGATGGAATTGCTGCATAGTGTCTTTTGATTGATCGCACTTGAACCTTCAGCCTGGAGGTATCCAGTGTATAAAATGAAGAGTTGTTCCTCACAAAGGGATGACCTGTGCTTCCCAGTGGAAATGTAAGATGATTGCGAAAAGTTTTAAAATACTCAGATCTACCATTTTCTTAGAATAAATATAGAATGTAGATGAAATGGGTGCATTCATAAATACAGGATGGAGATTTTCATGGCTAAATAATGTCTTCAAAAATGTCAACACTGTGACTTTGAATGACAAATAATGTAATATTTATCACTTGGATTTTGTTGGTGTTGGATGTGGAAACTTTGTCTGCATAATTTTGATCTTATTTAATGCAGCTGAACTGTGGTGTTCCCCATCATGCTAAAAAGCTCATTTATCTGCAGTAGTGCTCCCTACTAACCACATCTATGAAAAGCAACCATGTATACGGAACACACTGTCAGGATTGCTGACAGGAGCACTCTTAAAATATATATGCAAAGTCTTTTAGATTTGAAAGAAGAACTTCCAGAGGCTCGAGATGCCTCCAGTATAGCAGAAATAATTTCAACAATTCATCCATTCTGATGTGAGTAGGAGTGTGTCTGTAAAAGAAATGGCATTAATGCTACGTGTGTGTGTGTGTGTACACACACACACACACACACACATATTTAAAGAAATGGCATGATCAGATCACCCCTTTTTTTTTATTTTCAGCTTCTTATATGCAAGCATAAAAAATAGTAAATGTCTAGCAAAGATGGAGGTGTTAGGCTATTGGTTTGCTAGACATTTGTAGTATCTTAAAGTGTTACCCAACCATCCTTGTGTCAACAGTAATGAAGACAGATTTTATATGGCCACAGTGATGATTGACTAACATACATCCTTAGCGAGGAAATGGCATTAGCTATGAATTCCATCCTCTGACTTTCTTTTCCTCTTCCAACTATAGAATAAATTCTGTATATTTCAATGTGAGGATTCTATTCTTTTCAACAAACTATTCCACTGTATTTTCAATAACCCTACAAGACACACAACTGTGTGAAGTTTGCATAAATGCATTTATATGCATATATTTACATCTATAAATAATTACTGGAAGTTAAGTTTTACAGAAGATAATCCAATTAGTGTATCATACACATAGATTACTAAACTAATTTGTATACCACCCTTAGAACATCCCAAGCCAATTATAATAATTCCTCTTCAATTAATTTGGCCCAATTCATTTTCCACATTATGGTTCTGATTTAAAATAAAATTTCATTTCAATTAATAGTTATTTTTCAATCATACTTGCTATGTTTTCATTTTAAACACTCAAAATAGGATCTGTACAATTCACTTAGATAAATTGTAGCTATGACTACAAGATGGAATGATTAGATCATGCTTAATTTTCCTGTCTTAACATGCTGCTGACTTTCTTCTAGTACCATGTTGCACAAACTGTTATAAGAAAGGGAAATCACAGAACTTGTTAATGTTTTTTTCCCACAAGAGCAGCCACTTCTGTTTCCATGCTACAACGAAACAGACATGATGGACATTTGGATGATCTAATATTTCCCTATTCAGGAGCATGTTACATTCTTCAGGTTTTGCAGTGTTGGATTCTGACAACCTCCCACTCATGTGAGCTGTGATGGTTCAGTATAAAATAGGGAAGGAGAGACATTTATAACTAAGTGATAGGATACTGAAATGAAATTATCCCCGTTCCCAGACCATGTCATTGTGCTCTGCAAATTTTTCTCCATTCTGGCTCTGATACTACAAGTGAAGCTGGGGAAACAAATCTTCCATTTGATAAAAAGCCTTTGAAGCATGCCGATGTCATCTTTACAATCTTTCCAGTGACCTCAGTTAGACCTCATTCTCCACTTTATAGTCAGACATTTGGTTTGGCCTTGAGCAGACCTGGGCTATCTTGGACAGGCCTGAACAGAATGGTGGACTAGGAAGCAGAGCCACCCTCCTTGAGTAATAATGGTCTTCATATTTAACTACTAGCATTAGAATATATACTGAGTTCTATATTTACTACCCATATTCCCCCTGCTTGCCTCCTAGGAAAAAATGGTTTAAAAGGGTATCAGACTTTGAGAAGTGGCTTAAGATTAAGTCACTGTCTCTGAAGCAATGTCTGTTATTATAAACTCCTGAGTATCTTTTATTTTAAGATTTCCATGTTGAGAACTCACAAAGCCTATCTTGATTGCTTAAGAAGGTTTAGAAAGGAGAGGAAGCAAGTAAGAAAATAATTATAAAATATCTTGATGGGGTATTTGATTTGATTCAAAGTCCTTACACACTACAGATAATTTTTTACAAATAGTTTTCCAAATGTATAAATAATAAAGCCTCTTTCTTCTGGTTGCAAGTGATTTTTCAGTTAAAATTTCAATTCGTGATCCATAAAGCCTTCGAAACGGGAACAGCAGGAAGATCGGGTGGTGAATATCTCTGCATTCATTCATTTGATACAGCTGGGCTAAATAAAATCACTTGGAAGCCAAGGCTTCTTGGGCTGCATATACAGCTCAGGATCAGGCCTGCAAAGAGGAAAGTCTCTCAAGAATTACTTTAAAGAAAGTGATTACTGATTACATTAAGAATGGATATATTCTTCTTTTGATGGTTTACACTGTTAAATTCCACAAATAAGTTCCTAATAACTACCAGATATTATACCTCTATCTACAGGTATAAACATGACAGATATCCTTTGAAACTGCTGATTAAGGATTTTGACATTTCTAGCTGATAATATAGCAGGTCTCTCCAGAATACCAGTGCAAATGAGTCTGAAAGACAACAAGTACCCTAATTCTATACATATCTTAATGTATGGTTTTATATAGATACTAACTATATAAGACTTGGGCAGTTGAAAATGCCTTTTTTTCCCTTCTCAGTAAAACAGTATAAATTAAATGCAATTGTGCCTTTCCAACTGAACCAGCGGATACCAGAGGAAAAGGGGAGATGATGTTTGTCTTTTCTTCTCTCTTCCGAGCAACTCCCTGAGACTCCCAGAAGATACTCCTGAGAGAATCTCCAGAATAGTATGGAAGGTAGTACGAGTGCATACAGAAGAATCACATCCCTCTCTTCCTTTAGCAGAATCTTCCACTGGCTCAAAAATTCTTCAATTAATGGGATTTTCCCTCTCAACTTATGAAAAGGACCAAAGGATATAAACAACACAATTTCTTATTAAAGATTCTAACTATACAAAAGGTAATCATATAAAAATGGTACCAATACATGGGCCCAAAAAGATGACAGCAAATGCAGACATTTAAGAATTTCAAATAAATGACATTTCAGGTTATAAAAGATTTCAGGATAGGTTTTAAAATAATAATATGAATCGCCACTGGAATAAGGCAGAATTTCAATGGTCCCTAGGGTGTATCAGGCACAATGAGCCCCACCTCCATTAACCACTGGACAAACAGCCTCTAGCAACCTCTTTTTTCTGCCATGTCCCCATGGCACTGCCTTAATCTCTTCCCCAGCCCATGAGTGAGACAGTCTTAAGTCATCCTCAGATATACTGATGATAAAGTACTAGTTCATCCCTTACTTTGTCACTGTCCAAAGACAACCAGCCTCAAGGTGTATAAAATCTGTTAGGCTTTTGTATCTTGGAGGGTCATCTTTCAAATGACTTGAAACAGAAACAACAGAATCAGGATAGGGAGTGGCAAGGGAGTGGCAAAAATTTCATGCTGGTAGAGTTTTCTGCCAGTTCAAAGATGAGTGAAGAGTTCTGTAACTCAGCAGTTGGGAAAGGTGACTAACTACTGTAGTGCTACAGCTAGGAAAGGCCCCATAATGCAGTGCAGCGTATTTGCTTGCAGAGAGGGATCTCCAACCCTGGAATCCGCTTCTGCACAATGCTGCAGAGCAAGGGGTTAAGTAGAGCCCTCTGGGGCCCAAGGCAAACTTCTCAAAGGACCCCTCCCCCCCCCCAATTTGAGAGCTCAGGTGCCAGAACCTCCCAAGGCTTTGGCAACTGAGGGCGGGCAGAAAAAAAAGAGAACGGTTACACAACAGCTTCTGCTCTGCTGCCACATAGCCTCATGACACAAGAAAGAGTGCCGCCAGCAGTAGGTCCTAGGGAACATGCCAGGGCCTTGGAACTCTCACTGTTTGGAGAAGGAAGAGAAGGCTGGTAGCAGCCCTGGTCAGGTGCTGACAGAGGCAACTACTGTCCTGGGAGTGGAAGAGGAGGAGTAGGAGGAAATGGTCTAGCTGCCACAGCAATGATTCCTTCCTCCCCCCACCCTTCCTGCCTTTTGCACCTCTCCTGTGCTACAGCTATTGCTGCTGCTGCTGCTGTGTGGGCCCTGCATTTGTTGAAGGTGCAGGCAAGGAGTGGCAGGACCCCTTGGCCTTTCAGCTCCTAAGTAGCCTCCTCCCTGGCCTGACTACTCATACACCCCTGGTGCAGAAGGCAAAAAGAAAGGTTTGGGTATAGACTCAGTGAGACAGGATCACAGCCCTCCCATTCTCTTAACATATTCTTAGATTAAGGAGAAAAACTATACTAGGAGGCAATATTTAAAAAAAATAAATTTTATTTTAAAAGGTGAACAACCCCCACCCCCACCCCCCCAAAAAAAGAAGAAAAGAATTTCTCCCATACCTTCTGTCTTATCACCATGAGCCCAGCCTGGCATGATTAGGAAGTGATTATTCTGCTCTCACAGGTTCTCCCTTTTTTGTCCCCTTTGGATTTCTCTGCTGTTACATGTTTTACCCTCAAATAAACTAATCTCACTGCGAAGTACATTTAAAGTATCAATTCTTGCTCAAGCAGGAGACACATTTGCATTTTACCATTTCAAAAGTGCAGATGGTAAAACGATACAACATAAATGTGAAATGCTGCATTAAGCTGCTGAGTTTTCTGGGAAAGATAAACTAAAGCTGGTAACTGACCAGTGATGAATCTTCTGCAGCATGGGAAAGGGCATCTTCTAAACTTAGTTCTGCCTTCTTCCCATCCTTTTCAATAGGCCTACAGTAAACAAAAGCATATTCCAGTAAATATTAAAACTGAAACAAGGATATAATAATTGACTTAATTTCTTTTTTCATAAAGACATTTTATTTTGAAAATGTTGATGCCTACTGTTAATAAAACATAATTCAAAAATCCATGTAAGTCTAGCATAGTAAAGTAGATCTATGGAGTATGCACCTTTACTTATGTAAGAAATATAGTTGCATGTAAGATCTGGAACTCAGTCAAAACTATGAACAAAATTACAGAAAGGAAAAAAGGAGCAATATAAAAATTTCTTTATATAATGAGCACTGGAACTCATTTTAAAAGAAAGCAATTGTCCAAATGATTATTTTTTTAAAATCAGACACTGGAAAATAGGATAATCCTCAGAATTACAGAAGAGAGAATCTTAGTCTTTCCTTCTATTCAAAAACAATCAGTATCATAGAGAAGATCAGATGGAAAAGAACTCCCTTCTATCTATTCAAAATATATTTTATGGAGAAGGGAATAGATACTGTATTAGGCTAGAACTTGGTTTAAAAAGACAGTATTTCAGCTCTGTTTGCCCAGTTATTCCAGACTAAAGGAAAAAGATCAGCAAGGATGGACTGAGGAGAATCAATTATTTTGCCACACTTTCAAAATCTATATTGTGGGTGTGTGTGTTTTAACTTCTGGGAACAATAATGGCTCCAAATGTACAGTACAGGAGGGTTAGGTTTATTAGGGATAGATAAAAACTCTGTTGTATGATTTGTAAGAAATGCTATGTACTATGTTTTTAAAATCTTATTATTAATTATGAAAAAGCAGCTGATTACCATGCGGTTTACATGTTTGAAACTTACCTTATCTCACATTCTGGTTCTAACTCAAAGTCATGCTCCAGGTCCGTAGTCCTAGCTACTTTGTGTTGTGAAGAGTCCTCTGAGATTTTTCTCTTTCTTAGTAATTCAAGCTGGGTGAAAAACAAACTATCTTTAGTAGGTTAAAAAAACACAAATTCCTTTTAGCAGCTTATAAGACAGTAGGCATTTCCCATGTAGTGTGTGATATTGCTCCTGTGGTCTCTTTTTCACCCCTGTTGCCCACCCTTCTTTTACTTTCCCTATATTTGCCCCCCTCAATCCCACCCTACCAGCTCCCTTGCTTTGTATTATAGAGTCTTCCCTAGTGACTATCATTAATATTACTAAGAAAGGACAAGTTAAACTTTAAAAATGTATTATTAGGTCTTCTATTTCAAGTGTACGTTGCCTATAAAAGACTAATTTATTTCTTACTGTTACTTCTATCCAGCTTCAATTAAATGAATTTAAGCTGCTTACAATATCATAACATCATTATAATATTAATAAGAAAGTCAGTATAATTTGTAACAGTTGAAGTACAAAAATAAATTCAATAAAAATCTCCACACATATACAGTATGTCGATCACTCAGACATACTAATAATATTTCTCTGCAGCTTAGTTCTCAAAGGCTAGTGGAACAACCAAGGTTTTACAGGTTTCCAAAATGTAAGGAAGGAGGCAGCAGCTCTCATTTTAAGGGGCAATATATTCCATAAAAGGGGAGCCCAACTAATGGTATGTGGGGAAAGTCCTTGGGAGACAGGGTGAAGAGATGCTGCTTAGGGAACGGTCAGATAAGAGACAGCATAGCCCGCAGCTGTGTAGTGGGCAGAACAAGAGGCTCAGAAGGGACCCTCCCTAAATTCTTGGGCTGTAAAGGTGAAGGTAGGAGAATTTTACTTTCAGACTTGCAAGATTCTGTTAATGTAGCTTTACAATAAAGTAAAATTAGTTTATCTGGTCATGTTTCCTGTCTGGTCTACCTGGTAAGGCTGACATCAACAGACATTGTGTCAGCCCTTTGAGGCAGACCCAGTCAGGAAATAGATTCCACAAGAATGCAGGTATTCTACTTTGTTCATATAGGCTACAGTAATAGGATCTTGAAAGTCTGTGATTTCTTTCCCTCTTATGCCTCAGGGAGGTAAGGTAGGGTCAGTTTGAGTTTCTTCTTAACGGTTTCTTTGTTTCCTGGACTTAAAACACATTTTCATAACTGTTGCTGCATAGTTTCTCCAAGGTTATCTCTGACTTTCCACACACTGTTCACATCTAAACACTCCCCCAGCACTTCATGAGGAGGTGAAATGAATGACATTTACCTAAAGATCTATCTGTCTGCCTGTCTATCTATCATCAATTTGCTCAACTCCATAGCAATTCTATGTACAGTGTACATCACTTAAAATGATATGAAAATAAAATTATTCAGAAAAATGAACAGTGATATCCAGACAGAGCAATAAAACATACAACGTAACTTAAATATTCCCATAAGAGGCCTGCCAGTCATCCTAGCCCACATTTTTATGCCAGGCCAGAATTGTTTGGCCTTCCTTCGTCTTCCCAATCTCTTATCCTATGATCCTTTCACACACACTATTTCTTCCTCCTTAGTTATCACCATTCACACCAACTTTCTCTAACCATAAAAGAATCTGTAAATTAATAATAAAATATATATCGGCTCACTTTTCCTACCTGAGTTAAAATACCTTCCCACTCACTGGTGCCACCAAGCCATGTTAAATTTTGTATTAATCCCCAACAATTCTACCCCAGAGCTTCCTGTTTTGCTACTTCCAGCAAGCTGGAATAATTAGAGTGGCTGCATCCACTCTTCTGATCCACCCCTATAGTCCCAGAGGCAAAGAGCCTCCAAGAATAAAGAGAGGGAATTTCCTCTCATAAACTGCTTACCGTTGTGAGACGTTCTAGTGCAGCAAAACGTTCCTCCCATGTTGCTGTAGATTTCTCAAATGCTTCGTGCCTTTTCAACAGTTTCTCTACACCTTCCACAGTTTGCCCATAATCACCGCTGAACAGATAGGGTTCCTGGGCAATGAGCCAAGCCTCAGCCACTGAAGCATCTCTGGAAAACTGGCACACCTCTAGCACTGTTGTAAGGAAAACAACCAAGCAAACAACAAACAAAAGGGAATATTACATAAATTCAGGACCTTCAGATAAAGGAGAAGATAAAACCCCCTTACCTAGAACCATCAAAGGACCTGGATTTTCACTTCTATAGAGAGAGGATTCCACTTGCATAGAACAGTTTATAGTCAGTACAAAGAGGTAAACCACTTTGTGCAGTACTCACACAAGCGAAGCCAGTCCCAGCGTCTATCCCACTTTTCCATCATCTCCCTCCTCTTCTCTGTCAGCTGTAGCAACTTCTCTTTTATCTAAAAAGAAAAGGAGGAAAATTATGCATTTTTCTGGAAGTCTGATTAACAGACTCTGTTTTCTATGTTTCATCTTATTTGCTTACATTTAATTTTGCTTTTCCTTTTGAAAAAGAAAAGCCCCATTTGGTTAATTCATGACAATGATAATGAGAACATTTAACTCCACTGCATTTTACTTTGCAGAAGATTGTGTCCAGATAATGTGAAATAAATCAGAGACTAATTCAGGAGTCACATAATACAGCCATTGTGTAGAATCTTTTTCCTGTGATACTCTGATCAATTAAAGTACAAGGAACGATCAAAAGCATGAACAAAAAAGAGTGAAAAACTAAGGTGTAAACTGTGTATCATAGCAGCAAGCCTATTTCTGGAAAGCGTGCTGCTCCATTTAAGCTCCCCTTTAAGTAGTGCAGCTTCAAGGGTCAAAGAGGCAAAGTAAGAATACTGAACTTTTTCTTCTGTCCAAGCCTTTCCACAATGCCTTCCAAATACTTTCTCATTAAGTGGGCTTATTTCCACTCTCAGCGCTGGCTGAGAAAATAAGCCTGCCCATTTGGGTCCTTTAAATTATATCCTCCAAAGTGGACAATCTGATGTCTAAACTTAGACTTGGCTCTTTTGCTCCCTCATTAGTCTGAGTCTCAGGCATATAGCACAAGAGAGCCACCCCTGATAATTGAAGGAGTCCCTTCCTTGCTTTTTCCATCTTTAAGGTGAGTTTGGAGTTCAACCAGCATTGTTAGCGTTTATAACTAACAAACCAAAACATATGTCTCTCTTTTAGCTGGCAGCTAAAGGACATACAAGAGTAACACCTTGATTCTTTTTTCCTGTAACACCACCTCTAAATTGGAGCATCCTCAATATCAATTTAAAGTTACTGGGAAAGGCTAATAAGAATTTTATTAAACTAAGAGATAATATAACAAATCATGATTTAGGGAAAGTAATATTAATACTATCAAAGTTCTTCTTAAAATTACATGAGAGGAACCAAATGGGGGAACATGAGAACTGAGGAAAACTCAAGTTCATTTCAATTTATTCTCATCACATAAGTTCCTTTTCCCATGGCTCAGTTGCTCTCCATTCATCCTAGCCAGCAGAAAATTGGCTGTCCCTATGGCCAGTCCCTATCCTGCCTCTATAGCCACTGCTCTGGATTCCTCCTGGATGGTGGTATCCTGATTTAGCGTGTGTAGGCAAAGCTATTGGTTAAAGACTCTGGCTTTGCTGCCCTTCCCCTTTCTCAATGTAACCAGCTGGTGGGAAACCAATTACATCAGTGAATGGCTTTGACAGAGGGCACTGATCTAGCAATGTATCAAAACGTCTCAATCTGGTAGAAGCCCTGCAGGGCTGATCAGAGGGGTAGGATGACAAGCAGTGAAGCCTATCCTACTTTACAGAGCAGTCCCCACCACACAGATCAGCTCTAAGACCACCCACTACTTGATCTGCAGGATAACTGGGCTGCCTAGTCTCCCAATGCACAAATCAACACAAAACCTGCACTCCAAACAACTACCAGCTAGCTGATTGTCAGGGTAAGGACAGGAGGCTGCCCAATAAAGCAGGAGAACTGACTCTCTGAAAACCCATTGAAAGACTACTCCTTTTTACTGTGCAGATCCCTCTCCTTGCTGATCAGCTGTGTAGCAACTGGTTGTATTATATAGCAGCCAGTTTCCTGCTCTTCCACCCTGAAAACAAACAAATGACTTCAGAGGAGAATGTCCTAAACACCAGGGGAGGGGGCAGGCACAGCACCAGCCAAGAGAAATCAATAGGTGATAGGCTCATCCCACTCCTTGTGAGTCAACTAACTTGGAAACAAAGCTTAGTGGAATTAAAATCCTGGGGCCAACTCTTTTGAGCAATGGTGAAAACATAATAAATATAAATACACCAATGAGCCCTGCCAGATATCTGGGATTTGCTCAACCATGTATAGTGCTAACGATATGTGAATTTGCACCATGATCTGATACAACTCCAATTATCTTTCCTGTGAACAGAGTTCTGAATGGAACACGACTGCTAAATATGTGATTGAAAGACAGGAACTGCACAGGCATAAAACTGACAATAAAGTATGAAGAAAGAATTATTTCATTTCCGGCAAGCAACAATGGCATTATTTACCTTACTACCATCTAGATGGAGGCAGCACATTAGAATGTTCAGAACAAATCTTATACTTAAATCTGTTGCAAAGCCTACTATGGAGAACACTCACCTCAGCTGCAGCATGGTGCTTGCGCTGCAGTAATGCTTTTCCAAGATCAATGCAAGCAGTGAAACTTTTATCCCTAGTGGCTATCTCAGATTTTATGTCCTGATGATATTTCATCAACAGTTCCACAGACGACACATCCCTTAAATTAAGAACAAACAATTTTTAATGGGGAAACAAGCAATGGTGTAAATGTCAGGATAATTTTAGATGTAATGTTTTATGATGCATAATGCATTCAGAAAGTCTTTCAATATCCTGCATTTGAGAAGTGACTTCCAGCCAGACTGTCTTTTGGAAAGTTGCAGTGTGCAACACACTTGAGAGTATAATCTGAGAAGCATTCTTGAGGGTCCCACTGACCCATTAGGCTTTTGCCCACTGGGCAAAAAAGGATCAAAAAAAGGGGCTCACCTGGGCTTCTCCTGGGTGTCAATCTGCCGGATCACGCTCTCCATCCAGGACATGAGGTCCCGGACCATACTGAAGAAGCGGAACTTCTCGGCTGTATCAACTAATTGAGCCCGCCGCCCCTCGCAAGCCTCCAACAAGGCCTTCCAAGCTCTCACCACCACCTGTTCTTGCTTCTGGATGGCCATGGCCTTTTCTCCAGCATAGGCTGCCAGCAGGCGTGCTGCCACCTCCTGAAAATGCTGAACCTGCCAGAGTGGAGAACACTTTTTACTGAAACTAGGAATCATAGGGATGTATACCCCATACCAAACTAAGGCTGGGAATCCAACTCTTTCTCAAAGCCAGTTTCTTGACATTAAAATGGGAATGCATCTGGCCTTTTTCACGGGATAATGAAAAAGTTTTAAAAATTCTGATGTAGGTTCTGTAATTCTGCTAATTAAGGAGAATAATTTCTTCTGGTATTTGTTTCAGAAGCATCTGGCAGAATCTAACTTCATATGCTAAAAAACTTTCCAAGGTAAGTAGTCTCAACTGGGTTGAGTAAATTCACACAGACTGTTCCTTCTGTTTAATTTAACTTCTGGTTAGATCTCACATGCTCACAGTAAATTAGCCACCTCACCCCAGCATAAAATGAGAGAGGAGGCTGTCAGACTGCTCCATGTATTTTTAAGAAGCTAAGAGGTTACCTGCACTCCCAACAAGTGAATATCTCGCTCAAAGGCTTTGTGCATCCTGTGGAAGGACTCTGCTGTGTTGACATCTCTGCCTAACTCTTCAGGCAGCTCCTTGTGCTTCTCTTCAATAAGAACCTGGATCTCACTACCATCATAAAAGAACTTGTGCAGGTCGTAGGAGGCCGTCAACAACTGCATTCTGGTGTCAATGAGCTCTAGCAGGTCAGCCCAGCTCTCATTCAGACCATCCCTCCACTCTGCAATTGTGGCAGCTTCTGGGTGGATATCAATCAGCTGATCAGTTCTGTGAGTGACACTGTTCACCCACTCCTGCCCCAGGTTTCCTGTTTCCCGGGCGAAGTCACGGAACTTTTCCCGCAGCAGCTAGTCAAGAACCAAAACCAGAATAAACATGACCATCCTAACCATTCAAATACTTTTCAATACCTTTCACTCCTGAACCAAACAATGGTATAATTCTTGCCTGGTGATACAGAATTAAAAACCCTTTGGCTTTTTCAGATATAAGAACAACTTTTAACCCCAAATTTAAACATGGGAGTCACTTAAAAATACTGCTTCCCACTTCTTTCACACGTCCTCTTGTTAAGGATTGGCTATTTTCTTTTTACATAACTTCATTAGGCAACATTGAAATAGTATGCATATAATCATGCCCACAGCAGGCAGGGTTATTCATAAATGAGGCACTGTGCTGCCCAAGGTGTAATAGAGTGTATCACCCTTTTGTGATCTAAGGCTTCAATAGCCCTCTTTATTTTCTTTGACCCTTCAAAAGAGTGTGAAATCTACAACATCCAGTCAGTAGGCATCTCAGGCTGTATATTCACTTTCCCATATTAAATGTTTGGCAACTATATAGGGAATACTCCTTTGGTGCTGAGTTATAAGGTTCATAAAGCTAACACAAGGACAAATGCCACTGCAGGATCTTTTTAAGCACAAGCAGCTTTATAGACTTCTCAAAGGTAAACAAAGTAACCACCATGAAGATACTTGGACAAGCCTTGTGCAAGCAGTAAGAAATAAGAACTCAGTTTTATTTTGGTGCATCACAGTGGACCACACTGAAAATGATCTACTCCTTATGAATAGCTGTTTCACAAGACCTGGGAGAGGCATTTTTAAAAAGTGCACAATGATGATGCAGTGAATCAAAAAGCCTTGTTATTCAATATAGGATTTATAGAGGTTTGGCCTGCAGGAATGGTTGCTGAGGTTTATTATCTAACCATGATCAGAGAAGGCTCAGGCAATGATTTAAAACCACCTGAGTTAATTAGGAATAACCTAGACTGGTGGGCACCTATCTTGGCTTTGTTGTTTACATCTATAGACAAGCACTGTTGCACCTAGGGATTGGGGGCTTACAATTATAAATTATAAAGATTTGGGGGTAGTTTTTCGTATTTCCAGTAAGTACAAAGTGTTATCTTCCTATACTGCCCAACCCAAAGTGTTCAAAGGTGTACTTCTGCCATCCATCAATTCTTGCAAGCAAAAGGGGTGGTTCTATGCTTGCCCTCAAATTATTGAAAGCAAGAACACTGGCACAGATGCCCTATGGGCATACTCAGGCTTGGGTTGGCTGTAGCAAGTCTAATTTAAATTTTTAAGTCTGACATTCAGCTTCATGAATGGGGGGGGTGAGGTGTTATGGCAGGTTAGACATCTCTGTGAGTGGCTCTGCAAGCGGAGACACCACAGTGGTGGAATTGCCAGCCAGGAGATAGTTCTGGCTGAAAGAAATTTCTCTACAGGAAGGAGAAATCGGGGGATTACCCACTTGTGCTCTGGAAGAGCTCCTCCTCATGAGGAGGCTGCAGGAATTTTATTCCTTGTGGTCGATCGTGGGTTGAGCAGCTTGGGAGTCAAGGGATTTACAATGTGCCCTAAATTGCTGTGCAGCCTTTATGGACATTTGACTGGCAAAAGCCTCACCTTCTTAATCACTTTACAATTTATTTGCTTTACAACCTAAGAGAGATATTCCAAATGGTGGTGAAGATAAAAAATCCTCAGTGAGTGCCTTCTTTTTGAAATTAAGAAGAGGGGGGAAAAATACCCCCACTATTTAAAGGATTTTAATTTAAAAGCAACAAGCTTAACAGGACTGTGATATAAGAAAGTTTCAAACAGACAAGGGGACAGTGATTTTACAAAATAGAATAATTTTTTTGGATGAAAGTGCCTTTGAAATTAGTAAAATTAATTAGACTAACAAACCGGACCTTTGTGGGAATGTTGATTGTTTATTTTTAAGGACAGTAATAATTGGTGGATTTTACAAAACAAGATCAGAGTAATATGAGCTAGAATGTATGACTGTGACTACAGAGAGCCAATTGGGACTAAAGTGTTAAAAATAGAGTGAAGCAAAACAAAACAAAACAAAAAGAAGCCCGCCTTTTACTTTCCCTATAGTAATTGACACACTTTCACTTTCTCACCATGGCAACCACAAGGAAAGCTGCCAAATTGGGGGAAGGATGCAGGGGTTCATTAGAACAAATGATAGATAATGGTATTTCACTAGATTTATTGCAGAAAACATTTGAAGTATTTGGCAGAAAGATAACAATTAAAAAGGAAATGGAAGAAGGATTTGCAGGGATGAAAAAAGATCTGA